GCACCCCATCCCCCACCTTTTTTAATATACATGTAGTTGGTGCTTAAAATTCGTATTTCAAGAGTCCCTCCCCGTCTTTCTCCCTCTTTCTCTCCCTCTTTCCCTCCCTCTTTCCCTCCCTTTCTGGATTTTATCAATACCTGTACTCCTGTAAAAATCCTCTTCATCTCTAAATTTGTTTTCTTTCTATTTTTATGTAGAACTTTATTTTTTATTCTTATGTAAAACATTATTTTCTTGGTAGATACCGTTTTCCTCTACATGAAATTTCTAAACTGTTCAGGTCTTTCTGATGCTTCTGAAAGGGTTAATGGTTGGCTCAGCTTGCTTTGCTCTTCACTGAATATCTCACCTAATAAATTTTGAATAATTTAGTTGTATATTTTTTAAAAATTGTTCGATTAGTTTCAGTTCAACAAACAATCGACTAAGCACATCTCATCAGGTATTCGTTGGTCTAGGTGTTATAGAGGGTACAGGGAATGCCTTGTTCATATGTCTCATTCAATCACCTTTTTTTTTTTTAAGTATCTACTAAAGGACTAAATTTTGAACTTGAGATTATAATTCAAGAATCTATTAGTCAAGGTACCTCTCTTAAAGATGCACAATCAACTAAAAGTGATAAATCAATGCAGTAATTTTAGTGGTCTGTATGTATAACTGTATATTATGGTGGTCTTAAGAAAATTGCTTCATCAAACATTTTTGGATCTGGAAAAACTTCACATCAGAGGAGACTATTAAGGTTGAGTAGGGGCTCCAAGTCTATGAGAAAGACAGGAAACTCACTGGGGTTTGGTTATGTTTTGTTACAGGCTATTTTTGTGAGAAACAACCTCTAAATTGTGTTTGTTACTCTCAGCCAACCCCACCCATTGTGTGCATCCCAAATCTCCCATTCTTCTGCTCAATTTAGGAGCCTTAGGATCAGCAGAATAACTTCTCAAGATAGATGTGGTGGTAGTATGGGCTCACTGCGGGGACCCAGTTATTACATTAATGAATATTCTACATTTCCAAGTAGGACTACAAACGTAAATGCATAAAAATAATCTCATGATGCTAGGACTCACATAATTCTTGTAAAAATGTGTAGTGCTTGAGGGTTTCCTGAGTATCTTAAGTGCTGTTTCTGATAGATATTAGCACAAGAATTAACACTGAATAATTTTATGTGGGAGGTTTGCAGTTAATTTTTTCAAAGTGATCATGCTGTATTATCTGGCTTTACTTTTTTTTATAAGACCAGGTCTATGCTTAACCAGGTGTCTAGGAAAAAGTCCTTTTGCTTCTCTGTGCCTCGGCATTGTTTTTCATTAAACAAGAAGATTCTTATTACTACTAGTAATAACACTAATTGTACCTCACTGGGTTGCAGTGAAGAATTACATCATTTTTCTGTGAGAAAGGACATGTATATAGCTGGTAACTATTGTTGATGTAAGATGTAACTTTTGAGTGACCAGATTGGCAGCTACTTTGTCAAGGTGATTTCAACTTAATTAATTCTTACCTGGTTGTCCAAGCTTTTTGAGTTTGAAACCTTTTTATTTATTTATTTTTTTATTTAATTTTTTTTTGAGAGAGAGAGAATTTTTAATATTTTTTAGTTTTCGGTGGACACAACATCTTTATTTTATTTTTATGTGGTGCTGAGGATCCAACCCAGTGCCCYGTGCATGCCAGGTGAGCACTTTACCACTTGAGCCACAACCCCAGCCCTGAAACGTTTTTAGTTTCATGTCTTATTCTTCTCTGATTACCCCAAAGTACATGTTAGAAGGCACTGTAATATTGCTCAGTGAGTACTTGTTGATGGAGCATAAATACATATATGTATTTCTCTCTCTCTCTCTCTCTCTCTCTCTCTCTCTCTCTCWCWCWCACACACACACACACACAYAYACACACACACACACACACACCTTTTAAGGTTCAGTGTTGAAAGTTGGACCATGAACTTATCTTTCCATTTGGGATTCCTGAAGTTTCTCATTTAATTTCTAGATTATAAGTTCCATTGATAGAACCCTTATAAATATCACATTAAGAAGTTGAACATTACCTTTAGGCCAAAGCAATTTACGTGTTAAAAATCTGATTAATTTTAACACAATCAGCCAGTGTGTCAGATGATTTTAGTGCCTCTGATCGATGCTGACAGGTGAGGAAATTAAAATCAGGGAGGGAAGCAATTAAATACTGACAAACATTACTTTAATGAGACAACCAAATCATTCATAAGCTATGGAATATGTTGTATTCTTGATAAGTATCTTAGGGAGGCAGGTGAGAGAGTGCATTTAAAAATGTTCTTCCTTTGGGATTTGAGGACTAGAGTGGAGGACATTCCATATTTTCTTATAATGCCTGTGTATTAACCTAATATTTGCCTGTTTATTAACCTAAAATTTCGATTGCTTCTGTGGGGTCAGACTTCCAGGTTTAAAATTATGGCACTATCTAATTTAAACAAATCTTAGACCAAGTAATTCTCCTGCTACTACTTCCATGGGAAACATAGGAAAATGCACAAAAGCTAGAAAAAATAATTCTTGGTCTTTCCACTGTGGTTTAATCATAACATGGTCAAGACCTACGATGAGAGAAACACAAAAATGTACATTTCATACAACTTAGATTCAAAATATTTGGGAATTTTAGGGCTAAAACCAGAACACAGGTCCTTCATTTTCCACCCCGCTATTGTATTCATATTAATACCCCATCAAGGAAGAACATCTGAGATAGCAGAGTTAGAAGGTTGCCAGTTTATTGGCTGTAATGGAAGTTTTTACAGGGCTCTGTCTTATTGCTCAGCTATGTTACAGCACTTAAATATATCACACATCATGAGTTATCTTTATGCTGATGTAATGCCACTTAGACCTTTTGTTCATTATATTAGGATCATCAGGCTAAAGGTTATGCTGCAGAAAACTTGTCTTTCATGGGGTGTGGTGATCGATTCAAGATACCATGGTTTGTGAAAAACAGGTCTCTCTGCTTTCTACACTTACCATGTTCTTCATTTCCTTTCTCCTTTTTCTTTACTCCCTGTCATTGTTCTTGCTTCTCTTTCTCTCTCTTGTCTGAGCTTCATGTATTATTCCCTTTGTTTTATAAAATACAATAGATATTATTAATAATCCCCTAGCAGTCTCAACTAAGGTTTCATGAGTTTTGCTTTGCATGGATTCCAATTAATAGGTTGAACTTTTGCAAGTTTGATTATTTTTGGCTGAAATCACTTCTGGAGGTGAGAATATTTTCCTTGGATTGGAAGGTGATTTGACAAGGGCTGCAGCCATGCCAGGTCTGGTCAGCAGTCCTATAGTGTACAGAGGCAGCTGAGGATATCTGACTTTATTTCTGAAAGGATAGGTTGGGATTTGCCAATTGTCCCAGATGTTTTTATGGGTTATGGAGAATTTTATCACATTATGAAATACCCAGGAGCTACTGAGGACACATGAGGCTGAAACCGTGTGAAGAGGGCTGGAGAAGTTCATTGTTGGGAGACTTGAGCATTTCCCCTATGKGATTTATTGATGGAGGCCTTCATAAAACTCACTGGTGAGACTCTTGTTGTTTTATGACTTGTGTTTCGACACTTTGCCTGAGATGTTGCATCTGTGAAACTTCACTGGGGAGATCTGAGAAAGTGGTTATGGTAACCCTGCTTCGATCCCTCCTTCTGTCCAGCTTAGTAATGTGTCACCTTCTGGCTGGACCACAGATGTACAATTGGGGTAATAAGGTCTCACTGGTGTTACATAGTAAGGATGATTTGATTCATAAGGACCTTATGCAATATTGACCAAACTATAAAAAACTTTAAAGATGATTACTGTTTAGCTTCTGGTAGCAGATTATGAGTTTTTTACAGGACATCTTATCAAACATATTCTTTTCTTAATCATGAATACTTTAGGAAAATTGGACATTTTAATAAAACTTCCCAGAGGTCTTATGCTTTTMAATAAATTGATCTGTTCAACTTTGTTCTTGACATTCTGTTGGAGTCTCCATCACTGAACCTAAGGCAAAGTTATAGGCACAAATATTAATATGATGTGTGATTCATCAATGGGTCTTTCATCTGAAGCTGTGACTCTTGCTTTTTAGGGGTTGAGGGGACATTTGATTTGATTTGATTTGTTTGTTTGTTTTGGATGTTTTGTCTTTCAGAACAAAAAAAAATTTGTGCTTTTTGTTGTTAGGTGAGGTCATGTGAAATTGATAGAAATATGATATGTTTAAAAACATTAGGTGCGCTTGAATTCAAGAAATACCCAACCCAGAGACAATTTCCATCATCGTGTGTTTATAACATTATATTTTAATCATATAAACATTGGAAAAATGTTATMATTTTGTATACTACCTTTATAGATAAGGAATAATGGAGGAAAACTTTCCAGAAAAAGTTTAACACAGGACAATTTCCTCTGTGAATTACATATTATAAACCTAATTTACATGGGAGGACATTGATGCTCATTGCTATACCAAGCCTTATGGACCAAATCAATGAGTTGTTTGGATTTTTCCCATCCACATAACATAGTAGAAGCTAAGATTTTTGGAAAAGATAGATCACTGAACCAGCAAGCAGAACCCCTGGTTTCAAATTCCCACTCTGCCATGTTCTAAGTACTGTGCAGTGGTGGGTAAGTTAATGCACTTTTTCTGAACTTAAGTTTCCATATCTGTAAATGTTGTGCAGTAATGGTCATTTCACACACTATTTGTGAAGTTAATTATGTGAGAGATGTTAGTTTCCTCTCCTCCTTTCTATCCCTTCTTTTCCCTCATTTAGAATAGAATAATCCCTTTGTGTTTCTTCATCAGTTGCTGTGGTGTGAAATGAGAAAATGAATGTGGAAATGTTTTGCACAACAAGAAACTGCTGTGCAGATATGAGAGGTTATGTTTATTGATGAAGAGAAATATACTTAGAGCTCAAGAGTAACTTCTACCTACTTCATTGACAGGCACTAGCACTTCGGTTGGCTGAACCTCTTGTCTGCTGTCTGCTCCAAGAGTCACCTGCTTGAGGTAAGAGAGGCATGGTGACTTCTTGCTCAGAAAACAAAGGCTCAGAGGCATCAGGGCCAATAATGCACAAGGTTGATGTCCAAGACAGTGACCTGCCTTCCATTTATGTCTTCCTAATTAATTTTCTTTTAAAATTCCTACATCTTAAGGTTCAATACTAAAAGCACGATTATCTGGACAGTATAAAAGATTCAGATTTAATGAGTATTTAATTATGTGTAATATGTTGTGTACTAGAATGTTCTTATTGTTTTATGGCATCTGCAGTTAGTATGTGTCAGGAGAACTTTTCACTTAGTCTCCTCGCCCTTCATCAAATGTATTTTTCACAATATTACGATGCCATAATTACCTGTCTCTGATGGGACCAAAGAATATTCTATCTGCCCAACTAATCATCTCAAAAAATATAATCCAATGTTGCAATAACAACAGCAACAAAATCCCAAGCACACAGATTATGAGTTAATCTTTTGAAGCCCAGCACCCATTAAATTGCATACCACTTTACTGGGGACCCATGCAAGGGAGGTAGGCCTTTGGCAGATGAATACATTGATCCGGAGTCTGCCCAGAAATGGAAATAAGTGTCAGGAAATCATTTTTAAAGAAGTGTCATAGTTGTATGATTTGTAGTGTGATTTTTTTTTTTCTCTTGCAGCTAACCTGCTGATAGCTGCACCTCCTAGTGAGCTCTCCTGTGCAATTTTTTTAGAAGTCTTAGCTAAAGAAAAGGAGAAGTAGTCAACAGGATGTTCCATGTAGTTGTGTTAGAATGAACTTGGTGGAAGATGTGATATCATCATTTCATGTTCTGTAAAGATTAGTTCTCCTTAATATGTTGTTCATATCTTGGATATATATCATTCCATGACCTTGAACTACAAATATATGAGTTTAGTTGCATAGGCCTTTGGAAAATCTGAGGTTGGTTGGTTTTTCCCCAATTGTAGGACTTAGCAATTTGGAATTGAGTGGAAATTATGGTGTTAAGTTAATGCAATTTTCAAAGCTAACATTCATTATGTATTTTAAAAAAAGAACATACCATATACAAACAGGTGGATGGTGTACGGACTGGGAAACTTCTATAATTAAATCGGAGACAGCACCCACTTGTGGTTTTAGATTTTTTATTCCCTCATGCCTACCAAAGAGAGTGTTATTAAGGAAAAGATATAGAAAAAAATTAAAGAATATTTTTGCCCAATCTTTTAGTCTCAGTGTAATCCACAAAATGTCCCTGCAAAAACTCCTTTTCAATGTATTATTTTCACAGACAAATATATCAGAAAAGAATGTCCTGTAGGCATCTCTGTTCACAGTTTTGATAACTCTCACAGGCAGAGCTTGTTCATTTAGAAACTACAGAACCTTCCTCCAGATGCTAGCTGTTAAATGTGAATAGGATAAACTTTGAAAAATGGTTAACTCTGTCCCCTTTCTCCACTGAAATCCATCTTGAAACTACACAAGGTGTCTTAAGCCATGAATTATTCCAAAATCTGCTTGAAAGAGAGGAATTTTGTCTGTCTGGTCAACCCCCRACTCACCCATTTATCTGTCTACCCATGAATCTCAAATGTATCTTTTGGAGGTAGGAGCTGGTCAGGAAGGAAGGATGGAAACTTCTCAAATAGGCTGAGAAAGGTGGGGAGGTAAATGTTCTGGTGGTAATTAATGTTATCGGTGGCAGTCGGGAAGAAACAATAACGGCTTAAATAAATCATTAGATCTGACAGTAGAGGTGTCAACAGGTATAATCATTGTTTTTCTCTGTTTTCAGCGTTGATCTACTAACTTCGTCGTTTGTGTTCCCTGTCCCATTTCCAAACCAAATCTATTTAAAGCTGTACTCCATGGAATCTGAAATGGTATACCCTGTTTACTATTTAGAGTTGATACCTCATGTTCTTTAATAGGCAAGATCTGTTCTAGAACAAGGACAGGCTTCTGGACTCCTCTAGACTGATGATTTTCCCCTTATCTCCACAGGGTGATTCATTAACAAGGATGAATAATAGCTAATTAATTCTCATGTGCCTCTCTAGATTGCCAGAGTGAATTGTTTATTATAGTTTTGGGGAAACAGCCCTAGTCTGCCTTAAAAGACAATTATTTATTTCATAATTTATTTTGAAGGGAAGGCAGGGGCAGTAGTTAGAAATGAACTTACCTCTTTCGTTACTTTGGATAGAATCTCATTGTCGTTGAGATTGAATCAATGTTTTATGTGTCAGAAACCCTGAGAAGCTGCTTCTAATCTAAGCCCTGTTGTCAGTGATGGTCTCCTTGGGCAGGTCATCCTCCCCGTCTGAGGTCTGTTTCAGCATCTAACAATATACAGAGCTGATCCACTTGACCATGGCATTTCTTCTAGTTACATGTTCTATTCTCTATTATTTTATTTCCTTGTCGGTCCCTTCTCCCTTCTGCTGCCACGTTTCCAAAATCCAATGACTATTCCTGGGCTCTGTGTGAAAACATGCTTCTGTTTAAGTTTTATTTCTTTGATGAAGTGTATATGTCCCTTCATTTGTTGTTCATACCCTGGTTGTCCTCTAGTTCCAGTGTCAGCTAATTTCAAGCTAGAAAGGAGAATAAAACTCACCTTTCCCTCTCTGATAGTACTCTAGGCCTTGTTTTTAGAGGACCTGGTACCAACACTGCTGTTAACACTATTAGGAGGAGGGGGTTCCTCTTCTGTTGTTTCACTATTCTAGGGTGAATAGTTGCACCTATAAGGAAGTGTCAAAACATTAAAGCCAGAGAGGACTTCAAGACTCAATCTAACCAATTTTTCCATTTCAGAAGAGGAGATTTGGGGTCAGGGCGGGAATCCAATTTCTCTAAGGGGTGGTTGCCAGTCCTGGGCTGTGGTTTCTTCTTTTCACTTCATAATTGTATCTTTGCTTTAGTTGAGAAATCTCTTCCTTTAAGTTGCTCTTTCTCTTCCCAATACTTAAGGGGTCATGTCTTTCAGACAAAACCAATCTCAAGGTTAATGTGAGATGTCCTTTGAAGCATAAATGGACTTGAAGCATCTTCATTCATTCCATACAGCTGAGGCACAGAGATTTGGGGCTGGCTTTTGCACTCTGTGTTGATTAGTACAATGTGGGTCCCCTTGTAGACCTTCCTCTACGAGGTTATTTGGCTCTGACCTCACAAACATCTCCGCCACTTTCCTCCTGTCCTTTTCTGATCCAATGTATTATACGAAAGCTGAGGATGAACTGTCAGATGGCTATGGACTGCACGTCTTTGGAAATATTAATAAAAAGAAGACAGATGAGAGATTGATATACAAGAAGACAGGAGAGTAAGACCTACACACTGATAYGGAATTCAATGCCAGTACTGCCAATTGTTGGGGCCACCCAGGATTTATAGTAGTGTATCACACTTTTCACACCTTCTTGTTGCCTTAGGCTGAGAAGCAGCTGGTAAATTGTTATCAAAACTAAACCCTTATTTTCATGGGACTTCAAGGTCCAGAGAAAAGAATAGTAATTATTCATAAGGTAAAGATTACGGATCTGAACACATATATGAACCACATGGTACAGAGTCTAAGGTTCAAAACCTGGCTTTAATTAATTTGCTGTGACTTCAGTGAAGGTCTGGCCTTTCTCTGAGCCTCWCTTTCTCCATCTGTGGTTTGGGTGTTGGTGGGTGGAGGAGAGGATGTCAAAGGTCATCCAAGCTCTGATTGTCATGAGTCTCAGATGCCTTTAAGCCCTCATAGCAAGGTTGCAACCATGCCATGTCTTGAATTGGAAGAGTGTGTGAATTAGACGTGGTGTGGCTCTCATTAGAGTTTCTATTGCCCATTTTTGCATCCATCAGACTTTTTAGTAAATAAACTTTTGCCTTCCAGTTGATAGTCTCCTTCCTGCTTGCCTAAGGCAGTAGTTTCTGATTTCTGTGTGTGTGTACACATGCCTACACACACTTGTGTTTGGGGTAGGGGGAACATTATGGAAGTTTGGGATACTCAGATGAACCTATGAACTATCTTAAAAAAAAAAAAAAAACAACAAAAACCCCAGTGTATCTGCAAAGAATATTAGCTACAATTCCAGGAGTTTTATAGCTAACTCTGAAGGCCATACTTGAGATCTAGGGTAGGCAAAAAATGTTTTCTCCGTGGGAAGTCTGAGATGACATGTGGTTGGCACTCATTTCCTTTAGCTGTTGGATTTTTCCCACAGTTCACCTATTGTTCTGCTCTGGTTCTCAGTCTGGCTTAGAATGACTCTGGACATTTACACATTGTCAACTGTTAATTGATACTTTCATACAGAAAATCTTACTGATTCATTAATTAATTCATTCTTTCACTCAAATGCACTTTGAACCCAGAATCTGCTAAGTGTTAGTTACTTTTAATACCTTACATTATTTTATTTAAGTTTATAAAATGGAAAGTTATTTCCTCCCCTTTTTTTTGTGTGTGTGCAAGGAAACCAAACTCAGGTTGAATAATTGTTCAGAGTTGTACAGTTAATAAAGTGCAAAGTTTGAGTTTAAATCTACATCTGCTCCAAAATACGTGACTGTCTTCAGAGATAACACTGAATATGAATAAGGACGATGAAGCAAGTTCATAAACCATGGAAATCTCTGGTAGAAAATGGTAAATGGGCCCCAGAGGAATACAGTGATTGTGTGCTGTGGGAGTTTGGTGAGGGACAAGATCACACTTTCTGAATCACTTATATGATAATTCAGTAATTAAATTCTTCTCCAAACCTTAAGGCCAAATAATAATAAAAAGAAAGACGTCGAACAGTTATATAAATGCACTATAAACAACTCATAGTTTCTCCTTATTTTTCAAACTTCCATCAGGTTAGTTGCCTCAGTAAGTGGGATGAGTAGACAAAGGATAATTGGGATCTTAGTGCCCTGATCATACTTGGAGTTATTGACGGAATTGGAATTTCAGGGCTCTGGGGAATCTGTTGTTGTTTTTTCCCTGTTATATTGAGCGTGGG